GGAAAAAAGATACAAGTCCTATAGATAATTATGTTTGTGTCCATATTGAGGAATACCAAAAGGGTACCTGGAGTATTGGTTTAAATTCCCCAAATCTGCTACTATAGTGAGTGAGCTCTTTATTACATGTAAAAAGGTTTTCATAGAAACTAAATATCAGTTGGGCAGTGGTGGCACATGCCTTTAATCCCAGCAATGGGGAGGCAGAGCCAGGCGGATCTCTGTGAGTTTGAAGCCAGCCTGGTCTACAGAGTGAGATCCAAGACAGCAACCAAAACTACACAGACAAACCCTGTCTTGAAAAACAAAAACAAAAACAAAAAAGTCTTTTTAAGAACCAAAAAACAGAAGATTCTAGGTGTCACATAATTATCTCATTAACTTATCTTCAAAGCCCACTCCACATCAGAGGAATTGTATATGTGAATGCAGCAGGGGGCGGGGAGGGAGCGGGAAGAGGGAGGAGGTCAATGGAAACATGAAAAGAATCACCCAAAACAGAAGAAAATGCAAAGCAAATGAGAGCAGAAGACCTAGGAAAGCAGCCTTTTCCTGGTGACTCAGAAGGCCATGCTCAGAGCTCCTTCATCACCATGCCACCATGGGCCTTCCTATGGAAAGAGGTAACCTGGTGCTGACCAGTGGCTAAGGCGCTAGACTCTCCTTCACCCCAAGACAACACTCAAACGCTGTCTCCTGACAGCTGCGCATGCTGTCTATCCTCGCAGCGTTTGCCCTACAGAAAAAGATTGTGGCGCCGATGGATGTGAGTGTTCTGGGCAGTAATCACATGTTTCATTGCACATTAGTGAATCTGCATATTACATTCAAGTGAGTCTGGCACACAGCTCCATCTCCTTTACTATAATCAGAACCCAATCATTAATTACAGCATTGTCAAAAATTGTTCTTCTGGTACTAACACTTAGTAAACATTCCAAGCGGTGTTTCTTTGTAGTAAAAAAAATTTTTAATGACATCAAAGGCTGGATTTCCATTCCCACAGTTTGCTTTGGAGAGGATTTTTGTTCTTGAAGGCAAAGAATAGGATAAAAATAATCCTTAAACTAGAGGCTCAGAATATAAGTAGACAATGATAACTCCAACAGAGGTATTAAAGTTAAATGTTGGACAAATGTGTAAATGTCCAAAAAATGTATGTTTAATATAAAAATAATCCTGACTTCTGCTTGTTGACTAGTTACTCCACTCCCTGGAACAATTAGATAATTAATCACTAAACTAGAAGTATTTTCTGTCCTATAACTGGGAATGTTTTGGTGTGTGGCTTCGAGAAGCCTGAGTAAACTAGAGGTGACCTTCAAATCTTCCTTTGAATAACAATTACCATAGCATTTGATGTTTAGAAAGTGCTCCTTTCTCTCTCATTTCATCTTCACTTAACCTTGTGAAATGAAGTTGCCATCATCAGAGAGCAGAAGAAGGGAATTAATGATGTGTGCCAAGGCCCCAGAACGAAGACAGGCTGGAAACCAAGTCTCTCCAGTTCCTAAGTCCCGAGTCTCGTCTTCACATTGAACCCCACACGTTTGTCATCCTGTGGCTTCCGTCCACTGTCCCGCTCACATGCCTTCCTTCCCCTGCATTCTCCACATGTAGACACAAGAATGCTCACGGCTGCCTCCCTGGACTGTCTGAGCCCTGGTGAGTCGGGCGTGTTGAGAGCAGTACCCAGCCAGCCCGCAGCTGAGCCCTCTCCAAGACAGGTGTCTGCTTGCTGAGAGACAATGGCAAAGCTCAATGGTATCTCCAGGAAAGCAGTAATAGGAAGAGAACAGGAGGAGTGGGGGGTGAATTGCAAGGTAGCAGACAGGTCATGTATTGACATCAGACATTCAAAGGCTTTCTTCTGAGTTCAGAGTTTAGGATTTTGGAGAAGCCCCAAGTGCATGCTTCAGTGGCCAATCCCAGCACAAAAACCAGACAAATGGGAGAAAGGGAGTGGAGAGAGAAAAGCCTGCAGAGATGGAGGAGATGCCAGGCTGCTGAGCCTGGCTGCCCACAATTCCAAAGCAGTGATGACATCTCTTTGTACCCAGTCGTCCCTGACCTCAGCAGCTGTCTCTTCCTGCCGAGATGGTCCCTGCCCAGTAGGACAGTCCATGGCTGCCAATGGACCAGATTGTCTCCCCTGCCCAGCTCTCAGGGGTGGGTAGCCACAATAGTGAATCATTTCTAGGGAAAAGAGCTGACGTGGATGGAATGTGCCTGGATGTCCAACATTGCCCATCCATGACCAGAAGGTCACAAGGTGACTTTCAGTCTGAGATCTGGGTTGCTTAGGTGGCAACTGGCAAAGCTAAACAGCCATGTGCTGAGAGAGCATGCCTCAGTTCTATCCAAGAAGATCGGAGGTGGAGCTGAGGACACAAGAGGATCCTGAAGTCCATGACTGTGTAACTCACAGTTGAGCGGATCTTCCGCTGAGATGGGAACTACTCCCTTACATGAATATAGACTCTTGAACTCCCAGTGTGCTCTTCCAGCTGTGATTTACACCTGTACTGCTTCCCAGTGCATGGGCTTCTCTAGTAAGTGTAGTGCATCCTGGGGACTCCTGAGATGCCATCCCACTGGACTAAATACAATGCTCTTGCAAAAGCCTCCAGTGCCTCCCTGTAGGCTCCACACACTCATGTGATAAATGGGCAGATCTAAGAAAAGCTCCCAGGTATGCCCATCCTTTTGAAATTTTGACACAATGTTTTCATCTACAAAATTCATGTGGGAGAATCACACATTACAATAAAAAATAGCAAGCTTATGTTTTGAGTGTCGTGGTTTGAACGCGAAATGTCCCCCATAGAGGCATGTTTCAGTGTTTGGTTCCCACCTGCTGGGGCTGTTCAGGAAGGTTGTGGAACCTTTAAGAAGTACAGCCTGACTGAAGGAAGTGGGGGTCAGGCCTTGAGATTGTATAGCCCAACCTCACTTCCTATTCAGTTCTACTTCCGGTCTGTAGAGGCAACATGGGCACCTAGCTTCCCACTCCTACGGCCTGCATCCCTTCCCCATCATGATGGAATGTGTTTCCTCCAACTGTAAGCCAGGAAAAAAAAAATCTTCCTTCCTTCAATTGCTTATTGTCAGGAATTTTGTCACAACAATGAAAAAGGTAATTAATACAGTGAGTTAATGATGTTTGTGGTGGGCTGCACTCATAGCTATCCTTGGCCCAGGGAGCTGGCTATGGGTTGGACATGTCGGTTAGTGGGTCCATCTGTCTAGTGTCCGTGGCTAGGGAAATAGAAGCGGACATGCAGGGCTGGATGGGTAACAGGTTTCACCTTTACATGGTAAAACTAGACAAGAGGAGAGAGAGGTCCATCTAGGCTGTCTTTGGACCAGGACTTACGCATAAAGCCCTGTGGAGCTGCAAGATGTATGCAGGTGAAGTTATAGGATCTGTGGAGGATGAGAGATGCAAGAGACATGGAGACAGGGCAACTTATTAGAGCTTCTGGGCTGGAAACCAAACTTTCCAGAACATCACTGAAGTGCCTGCACCAGAGATTAAATTCTGCTTACTTTCATGGTGGATCCCCAAGACTCTGAGCAAAGACTGGGTCATACTGTCGATCCCGCAGAACTTAGGAGGGTCCTATTTGCCATGCATGAGGTTGCTCTGGAAACCATCTGGCTGTATTCATCCAGGCCACATGTCTCCAAACTGTGTTTTTATTTAGGTGATCCCTCCCCAGAGGTCATGGGTCAGCAAACATAACCTTCAAGAAAAAGCAGCAGCGAGACAAATAATGAGAAATCAGCAGACTCTGGCTATGTTAGGTACTTGGTATGAGGGAGTACATGGAGGGAGGGCAGGCATTCATTCATAATGAGGAGCGCTGCAAGGTAGCCAGACAGGAGGTGAGGCTGGAGCTCAGAGTGCAAGGTGGGAAGCATGAAACCCCATGCTGAGCAGAGAATATCACCCAGAGTGGAAAGTCTTGACCTTCTCCCTCCGCTCTGCTCTGTAAGGGTCACGTCCCACCTGAACATCAGAGTACAGGGTCCAACAGGGGAGGAGAGGCGCACTGTAGCATGAGGGTTTTCATGACAATTCTGGAAGCCAGATTCTTCAAGGGTCAAAAGACCCACCCAGGCACGTGGGGACCTTAGCTTAGAAAAATTCAACCTTGGTTTAATGCTATGCTGTCATCTTGAGAAACAATGTTGCTGTGCTGAGAATTGATGCTGGGGTTTCGCACATGATAGGTGAGTGCTCTACCCCTGTGCTGTATATCCCTAGGCCTCTTCTTGTTTCTCTTTTATTTGGAAACAAGATCTTACTAAGTTATTCCAGCTGTCTTTGAACTCAATATATAGCCCAGGCAAGCCTTGAACATATATATGATCCTCCTGCCTCAGCCTGAACCACCAGGCCTAGGTGGAAATTCTTAGTAACTTTGCAAAAAAGGGATTCATATTCTCATTTTGTACTGAATCTCATCAATGCTCTTCACAAACTGTATTGTTTGACTGATTCTCCTACACATATAGCTCCTTTATTAAATCCAAAGTCTCTTCCTCATAAACCAAACGATAAGCCTAAGGATCTTTCAGGAATTATTTACTAATCTTGTGTTTTGGGTATTCAGTAGGTGTCCAATAATCTCACATTCCTAGAATTTTCAAATGGCTCTGTTTGCTCATTAATTCATTCAACAGACATTCACAGAAAAGGAAAAAAAATCTACCCATAAAGTCCTTCCAATTAAAAGGTTACAGCAGGTCCCAGCAATGAACTCCAATACAAGGCTCTCATCAGAGTTGAACTTGGTTTCCAGCCTCCAGTCAGACAGGTAAAACCATGACTTCAACGTGACTAAGTTTTAAAAAAGAAAAGCAAGACAGTATTTATGTGAATGTCTCATCCCAGCTCAAACACAAGCTTTAGTTCCCATTATCTGCTCTCACGGGAGCCCCGTTTGAGCTGAAGAATATGAATGCCTGACTACCTCCTATTTCTCTCTTGACAGGCGTGAGTAACACCGAGGCACGGCAGCCGGGAAAGTCTCCCCATTTCAGTGCCAACTGGATCGTGGGCAGCGCTGACCTGGAGATCATTAACGCCACAACTGGGAAGAGGAGCAGTGGGGGCTCATCCCGGCTCTGCAAGCACGTGTTTTCTGCTCGGTGGGCACGGCTGCATGGTAGGGTAGGTCGCACCGGTCCTTTCTGGGGAGAAAACTAGCTGTGCCTGGGCTCTGGTTAAAACCCTGAGGAAAGCTCCAGGGAAATGGGACATCATTTGGTCTGCAGTAATTGTGAGAAAGGGCATGCAAACTGATCTCCATGGTTACTGCCCTTTCTCCAACTAACTGCCCAGGAATTTCCTCCATGCACTTAAAGCTTTGCTACCCAAATGTGGTCCTCAGAGCTTGGGGAGTGTGTCTCTGTGAAGTAAAGCAACAAAAGAGCTTATTGTTGGACCAGCAAAAGCCACCAGACCCTATGCCAATTGGTTTACGTAGCATGTCATAAGTGAGGTACATAAAGGGACTGGAGAGAAAACTCCATGGTTAAGTATACTTGCTCCTCTAGGAGAGACCAGGGCTCAGTTCCAGAAATCTCATGGCCACACACAACTGTCTGTAGCTCAGTTTCAGGGGATCCAATGCCCTCTTTTGGCTTCTGCAGGCACTGCACACATATGATACAAGTATATGTACCCAGGCCCACACACATACACATAAAATAAAATAATATAATAAATCTCTTTTTAAAACATTAAAAAGAGAAAAAGAATTTATTCCAAGTTCAGATATAAACAAACTTCTCCTCAGAAAGTATATAAGGGCTGGCAAGGTGGCTTAGTGGATAAAACCACTTGCTACCAAACTTGAGGACCCAAGTTCAGTCCTCAAGACCTACATGGTAAAAAGAAGAAAACTAACTCCTGAAATTTGCCTTCTGACCTCCAAATGCACGTTGTGGCATACACACACACACACACACACACACACACACACACACACACACGAGAGAGAGAGAGAGAGAGAGAGAGAGAGAGAGAGAGAGAGAGAGAGAGAGAGAGAGAGAGAGAGAGAAGGAAGGGAAAGAAGTTAGGTAATTTCCTACTAATTTTCAAAGATGGTGACTGTCAAAATTAGCATTTTTCTCCAATCCAGAAGGCCACCTATTTCTACTACAGCAATGTTTCAAAATCTGCTTTCCATTAATAAATAGATACTAACTACATTTGGGAGGTTATAACTGAAATGCAGAGTTTTATGTACTTTGAAAGTATAGCAGACTATAATAAAATACAGATTAAAAATAAACTAGTGAAAACGTATTTTGCTCATTTTTTTTGTATTGGGACATAGCTCAGTCAATGAAACTCTTGCTATGCAAGCACAAGGACTTGAGTTAAAGCCCCAGAGACCATGTGAAAACACCCAGCATGGTAGCCTATTAGTCCTAGAACTGGGGAGGCAGAGATATGTGGATTCCTGGGGCTAGCTGTCCAGCCAGCTAGCCTAGCCTAATCAGCAAGCTCTAGGCCAGTGAGAGACCCTGTCCTAGAGAAGGGGTGGGGGACAAAGTTGGCACCTTCTGAAGAACATTACTCCTGAGGTTGGCCTTTGGTCTCCATGTGCACCTGCACACATGTGTGCACCCATATGACATGCACACCCAATAATAGAATTGGATAGTAGAATAGCAGATGTACAAACACTGAAGCATTTTTGCCGACTCAGAGAATGTTAAAAAAAAAAAAAAACTATAGTTACCTAAGAGTTTGGCATTCACCTTCTGCCTCTGCCACAAGCATGCAGATATGGGTATATAGCACCATATGTTCCAGTTCTGATTAGAACTCTCTGCCTCTCTCATGCCCACTCTGATCCCTTTTCTCACACCTCACTTATTCCAAAGATGTTGTAAGGTGTGGAGAAGCACAGGCTTTTCTTGTCTTGCTGAACAAATAGGTCCTTTTCTTGTTCACATGATCATGGTGGCATTGGCCACAGAGTGGACACATTGATCTACAGACCCTCAAGGAAGATGCAGTGTTATCTGAAGCTACCCTACCACAGGCCTGCCCTCTGCCTCTCTCCCTCTCTGTCCTCCTTGTGGGGGACTGAAGACATGAATGGACAGGTTTTCCCTGCCTTTCACTGCTCCAACTTTTGTCTCCTATGACTCAGAAGCCCGATAACATCCTACTTTCACTGCCTTTCTAGTTAACAAGCAACATAACTCAGAGTCCCTCTTCTCTCCTGCCTGCCATGGTGCTGTTAGTGCACAAACCTCCCCTTGGTAATCCTTATTCAGGAAGAATATAGAAAGCAATGGTTCTATTATTGGTGCTGTTTTGTTTCTTTCTGGGGTTTGCTGAGCTTTTTGGGTTTTGTTTATTTTGAGTTGGTATCTTCCTATATATCCCAGGCTGGCCTTGAACACACAGCAGTCCTCCTGACTCAACCTCGAAAGTGCTGAGCTTACAGGTGTGTGTCATCACACTCAGCTAAGAAAGCAGTGTTAAATTCTTAATAGGAGGTGAGTCATCTGCTATGTTATACATTTTTTAATCGTCTGCACTTCTGATGCAGCCAAGTATCCTTAACAATTGGGTTTTTCACAGAATTTTCCAAAAGAATGCAGATAACTGCTCTTCCAGTTTGTTTGTTTGTTTTATTTTTTTTTAATGTGTATGTGTGTGTATGAGTTCATACATACAGGAGGGAGGGTGCATGTGCACATGAGTTTGGAGACCAAAAGTCTATGTTAAGTGTCTTCCTTGATTGCTTCACTTATTTTCTGATACAGGGTCTCTCACTGAACTTGAAACTCACCAAGTGGCTAGACTAGCTAGCCAGCCAGTCTCAGGCAACTGCCTGTCTCCACCTCCCCAGTGCTGGGATTATAGGTGTTAACCAACACCTGCAGCTTTTTACATGGATTCTAGGGATCTGAACTCAGGTTCTTGTACTTGAGAGCCAAGCATTTTCCCAAATGAGCCATCTCCTCAGGACCCTGCCACTGTACTGTTAAAGCAAAGGAGAAGGAGATGCGAAGGGTTAGAATCAAGCTGGTATTTTGGTTGTGAAACTCATGTTACTGTGAATGGTTGAATTCACTTCCTCCTTCTTTTCACAGCTAAGCACACGGATCCCTGGCCATGGAGAAACACCGTCCATGTACTGTGAGGCCAAGCTGGGGGCTCACACCTACCAGTCTGTTAAACAGCAGCTCTTCAAGGCTTTTCAGAGAGCTGGTCTTGGCACCTGGGTGAGAAAACCACCAGAGCAAGATCAGTTTCTACTAAGTCTCTAAGACTCCTTTGCTATTGGACCAGAATGGAATGTCTGGAGGGGATGCAGCCGTATGATGGTGTGGTGTGTCCATCAATTCTTGACATTTATTCTCCTTCAGTGTTCAGGAACACATGTGTCCATGTTTGGATGGGAGAGTAGATTTGAGTTTTGGTCATGCTATTTCTCCCTGGGTTGTTAGTTCCAAGAATTCTGTCCACATAGATAGAGGTAGAACCACTATTGCATCAGCCCCATCCCTTACTGGGTGTCAAAAGGAAATAATCTATTTGGGCAAGAGGAGCTTAGAGGCAAGATTGAAATATGGTACTTAAGTGTAGCCTCATGCATCATCCTCTGTGCTTCCTCTTGCCACGGGCCTCTCTCGTGGTGTGATTGAGTCTCGCCAGCACAAGTTTATATGACTTCAAGATAAGCCACAGGTAAAAAGAAAAGCCATGGGCTCCCCAATTCCAAAGAACCCAACAGGAATGCTATATTGTCTTCATTATTCATTCAGGCCTTTCCACTTTCTATCAAAAAAGACTTGGGATGGACACTGTTAAAGAGCAACTAAAGTAAATAAAACCATGTTTATGACAGGAAGGAATAGACACCTAAGACACAAAAGAGTCATGATCTGTGATGCAAGGAAACTGCTTTTAAACTGCCCAATGGTAGAATGTTTCAAACAAGCCTAGGCGATTGACTTGATCACAACCTTTTCATTGCTTTTCATAGATAATGACAGCCATGGAAGTGAGAACTGCAGAATGCTTAACTACTACCCAATAATAGCAGATAAAGTAATGAAACTGAGTCTTAGATCAAATTCTGAATTTTTAAATGAATTTTTATTATAAAAAAAGCATACACATAAAACATTCAACAAAATCTTTAGGTTTGAGGAGCTACTCGATCTCTATCATTTTAGGTTCCTTAATCATCATCTTGCATGAATAAAATAATAATTATTATAACAATAATAATGATGACTTACCATAGCTGCAAAATTTAAAGAAACAGAGTTATGCCACGTATAGAATGGGTATCAAAGTTTGTGGCTATACATAAATCTTTTTATTATTTAGTCTATATCATGATCCCTAAGAGAAGACCCAGGCAAAGAAAGGCATGTCACTAACATATTTTTAGTCAACCCATGTTCCTTTAATTAATTTTTTCCACTTGGAACTCATTTCAACATTCATCAAGCTATTTAACATGTGCATAATCTTTTTTTGTTGTTTAAACAAATCCCATCTGATGGGCTGTAGAGATGGCTCAGCAGTTAAGAGTACTTGGTGCTCCTAGAGAGGACTCTGGTTCATTTCCCAGCACCCACTGGCAGCTTACAACCATCCATAACTCCAGCTCCAGTGGTTACAATACCCTCTTCTGGCCTCTGAGGGCTCCATGCACCCATGAAGTACACTTATATACATGTGGGCAAACTATCATACACATAAAATAAAAATAAATAATCCCTTTTTAATTCCATCTGAAATACATTATTGTTTTTTTGTTTTGTTTTTAAAAGTATAGGAGGAGCCACTTCTAGAATATGGGATTCCTGGTTAGAATTCCAGCTTATCAATCCTCAATAAAAATTCAACCATTACATCATAATGTATATATTCTAACATGTATTGCAGATATCACAAGAATGAGGTAAAAACATGAAATACATTGAACTGCAGTTATCTGATGCAATAAAAAGAAGAGTGGAGATATTAAGTCCTTGGATTTAATATGAGACCACATTTATCATTAAAGTCCTTTGAGGAAAGAATATGAGCTCATTGTAAAAACATTTTCAAGATAAACTTTCAAAGACGTGCAAGTATTTTTACAAATAAATGGTTAATAGTAATCTTTCATAAATCCTGAGGAAAACGGAATCTTCATTCAGTGTAAAGGCTACGATCAAAGAGCCAGCTTGTAGTAATCTCTGATAACTTGATGTATAACTAGGAGGAAGCTTAGAGACCCAAGAAACCTTGAGAGCTGAGTTGTGGCTTCTGTGTTGTCTTTCCACTGTTAGGTACAGTTACTTCCTGGCTGAAATCTAAGACCTCCCTCAAACCATTTGTATTTTGAGGAGTGGAATGGAGAATGCACAGCACTTCACATCAGTGTGATCCAAACAGTGTTATCAGTTATAAAAAGATTGGCATTAACTGCAGGGTCTTAAATGTTTCTATCATGTGATGAAAAGAGGAAGAATTGGCCACCTTTCAAGTATTCTCAGTAGCAACCGCCACGTAGACCTATGCAAGAGACACAGAAAGCAGTTGCTTACCCAAAACAGTGAACACCATCATGTGCATAAATTGCCGGTCTAGGGTTAGGACTCATGGTGTCTAAGGTACTGTTTTTCCGGAAACAACCCAAACTTTCCTAAAGATAACTTCTTGAAAAAAAAAAGTCACCCATCAAATTTATTCTATCTGTTAGCACTAACATAGAGATTCTCTTATTTACTTTAATTATGTATGCGTGGAGGGTATGTGCATATGTACATGTGTGTGCAGGTGCCTGTGGGAGGCTGAGGAGGGTGTCAGAGCTGCTGCAGCTAGAGTTATAGGCAATTTTGGGACACCTATGTGGGTCCTCTGGAAGATGCTCTTAACCACTGAGCCAACTCTGCAGCCCTGAGAATCACTTATTAAGTCAACAGGCTATTCCTGGAGAGGAGAGCTCTCATATGTGAGCAGGAGAAGACATTTCTGATGCTGCAAATGCGATTTTAAGACACTAGGGCTTTTCCACAGAGACATCATAGACAATGCTTTTTTTAATAGTTGAATGTCTTGCAAGCTCCTTGTCAGAGTGAGTGTGACATAAGAGAGAGATGGGAGGAAGGAAGCAGAGGGTCCCTGACTCTGTTCAATGAAAAGAGAGTTGCTGAAATTATTTATCTAAAGTGAAACCTGCCACATACTGAGAAGCAGAGATCATGGAATCTTCAAGAAACAGGAAAAAAACAAAGAGGCATTAAGAGGGAAGAATGAAAGGCCTGTGACATTTCTTATCTGGAGTAGACAGGTAGCCACATCAGAATTTCACACCTACACCATACAGGACATGTATGTGCTGCCCCTGACCCACAGAAACCCCACCCACTCCAGAAGTAGCCAGTCACAGGATCTGGTGAGCATGGACTAAACCCTGAAAGAGTAAGTAGAAAAAGCCTGAGGATTTTTCTCACCGTGGTATCCACAAAGCATTCCAACACTACCTTAGGATGCCCTGCGTTTTAACTATTGAGTTAGTGACTTGGGAGTGGCTTAAAAACACCCCATCTGAAGTTTCTATAAGAACGAAACACAAATAGGTCATATTTATCTTTTAGTCACCCTGAAAACAAATACAGTCAAACAAATCAAAAAGAATATAAGTAGACTATAAAGAGGACAGGCAGGTATCTCAGCCACCTTGGCTGTTCCTTATCCACCTGATTTATCTCAAAACTACCCTGTATCTCTTTGATCTTTACACCCTTTGTTTTCAAATCTTCTGTCTTCTGTATTCACACCCATTGAGTCTCACTTCTAAAGTCCAAATAGAAGGAGGTCAGCATCATCTTTATCTGCCTCCAAAACACATTGCTTTCCTATTGGGGAGATAAGCAATTTAAGGTTCCCTGCCTGGTTCTCAGTCAAAAAGCCAGTGTCTGTTCATTTGTGAACCTTTCCACAGGACTGAGCCCCACGGTAAAGTCCACGAAGGCACAGAAGCACTGCTCATCCACCTCCAGCAAAAAGATTTCACAGCAATGTATAATATCAAGTTATGAATTTAGGATTTCTTTGGATTTTGTTTTTTTGCCAAGTAAAAGATTTGCAAGTCCCTGACAATCGCTTCCTTTTGATTTCTGTGATCCTCTTTGAACCTGTATATATCTAACATGCCACTATTGATTTTGTGATGTCTAGTTGTCTTTCACAAATGTCAGGCTAAGTTACTTTTCCAAAAGATGCATAGCTCATGTTTTTTCCATATAATTTCCTTTTCACAGGACGGTTCTTACCAATAAATTTAAATGCTTTTTGTATAGTGTTTACCATATTTGATGAGCCATAAATAGTAAATACATAGTATATCAATGCCCAGAATAGAATAGTGGCAGTATTTTGATGAAATCCTATTTTTAGATTATAAATTTCAAGATGAGTCTATAGTATCTTGTTTAAAAAATTTAAAAAGACAATTGAAATTTAAATATAGTAGACATTTTTTTATTTAGGAAAACTTCTATGATAATTTTTAAGAAGCCATTCTAATAAAATGACCTAATTGGCCCAAAAGATAATAAATATCACTTTCTAATAGCAACCAAAGGAAATTTAGAAAATTTCTTTCTTTTTATGTACTACCAGTTGACTGCTGTGACCACCTTTTCTGGCCAAAGTCTCAGCATTCAGCAAAACCTGTTTCTCCATCACTTTTATCTAGGACAGTTTTCAGAATCAACAGTCTTGTATAGGACTAAGAAATCTACTATACTGAACGTTTTGAAGAACTACCCCAGCTTTGGATGGTTGCAGTTCATGAAGGAGTAGAGAATTCAAAGTGCTGCCTCAGGAAAGGATATAACACCAAGAGTCAACTCTTACTTGGGGCGGGGGGGGGGGGGGGGGGGGGCGGGGGGGGAGGGGGGGGGCAATGATATAATGTTAGGGATGACATGGAGGTTTCAGTGGGGACTGGGGTACTTCTGTGGAGGGCTTGGAAAGGGTTGGGCCCTGGGCGCTGTCCGTGGTTCCGACTCGTAGTTAAACATGGAAACACAATGATTTCTGGGAACACTAGGGTATCAGTAGCTCTTCTCAAACTTCTTTCACTAAGTTTGAATCAGATAAGTGATGATGGAGAAATAAGGAAATAGAAACAAAATGATATAGATGGAGGCCACCAGAGAGATGTCATGGAGAGCAGAGCATTGTCCCACATAGTTTCTTCAATCCCAAATCTAGGGAACCAGAATATGGAGTTGTTCATTCCCCCAGCAATTCTACTTCTTTAGATTCTTTTCTCATCCCCCCTCACCACATTCCTGCAGTCTGTGCTTCCCTCCTACTAACCTTCTGCTCTTTTTTCTGGTCCCCTGGTATACCTTAGAAGAGTGAAGTAGCAGGCAGATTGGTGTTCACAGTCAGGAAACTCCCTATGTCTTCATGTGATAGCATGACTACAGGGATTTACAACGATCATTCTGGACTCCCAGAGCATGTCCATTTCAGCTGACCTCCACCCAAAAGAATCACAGATAACTACATCTCAAGAAATTTAAACCAAATGATAGCATCCCTGCAGGGAAATGTATAATATCAAAACCTGGAGAAAATACCACCTTATTTCCCAACTCATCCTTTTTTAAAAGGTTTGGAGAGACGATGCACCCTTTTAAAAATAAATACAAAATTATCTGGATTCTAGTGCCTCTTTCACATGGGCACCTGATTTCTATCACCTGGAAGTCTGTGAAATCAATTTAATTAAACCTTTCCCAGCGGTGCCCAGCTAATTTTCAGCACTTTTTAAGTAAAATGGACTTAAAAAATAGTCATTCTTAGTTAAAGGTATGTACATAAAAAAGCATGATCGAATGGCAATATTGTATCAATGAATGTATATTTGTAATATTTGTAAAATAAAAATCCAAAACCTTACAATATGAATTTACATATGTTAATTTGCCTCTTCTGAGTTCTGTAAATTGCACTTTGGTGATACCTGATAAGTGAATGTTTCTCTTAAGTGAATAAAAATATCAAGTAAAGTTGTTCTTCCCTGGGTTGTCTGGCCTTTTTAATCAAGCTGTGTGTTAGGGAGTCTCTCAAACATTGTGATGTACAGGGCTTAAGTAAAGCCTGAGGAGGATCCACCTTCTTCAAAAAAATAGAATATTTGCTCTAAAAACTTTTTTTCTAATAATACTCATGTCAATCAATTATCAGAATATGCCAGAGTAACAATTACTAGCCCAGATGTTGCCCTTTTAGAGCTGATGTAATCAAACTAGGAACTAGGAACTAGGAACTAGGAATGAAAACACTTGTCATCAAGCCTTGAGTCAGTGACTCATTCTACCTATGTGAAATGGAATGAGTGACTTCATGCATGACTTTGAACCTCAGTTTTCTCACAGTTGAGTGCTGGAAACAAGACATATATACAATTTCACAGGATTTCCCAGGGAAATCAAAGGTTTACAACACTATGAAAATGTAACACATTGTGAAGATTCAATATGTTCTTAGTTCCCCACCCAAATTTTCCACAGCAGATGAAATACGGCAGTGGTTGACAATTGTATGATCAAACACTGTTCCTAGTGGATACCAGGGCATAAGATGAACCTAAAACTTCACTTGAGAATGTTTATGGCCTCAACTCTAACTCTGCATTGACTGAACATTCTGAAACTCAATCTAGTCCAATAGCATATTTTGCTTCTTTCCAGAGGCATAAGCTTAGACATAAATATATTCAGAAAAGGACATTTGCTAATGAAAGAGCTTTGATTTTTCTCCCATTACCCTGGGAATAGACAAAAATGTAAAATATGCCAAACAGGGGTCTTCTATACTATCATTTGAAAGACTGAGTAATATCTTTTGTTTCAAAGTATTCTTATCTTAGAACATATCTGAAATCCTACTACACATGCCCTTTAATCAAGGATTTCTCCCATTTTTTCAGTCTATATTTATTTTACATTAGCAAGAGTAATGCTTAGGTGAGAGCATGTGATATCCTAGGCAAAGGTGGTGGTGGGGACTGAAACAGATTATGAGAAGATTGACTTCCTCCATTCTCAATTTAGTATCAGTGGTGTGTGTGTGTGTGTGTGTGTGTGTGTGTGTGTGTGTGTGTGTGTGATGTGTGAATGTATATGCATACACATATTCAAATGAATATGAGCACTCAGGTGCATGTGTAGGCCACAGGTTGATGTTGGATGTCTTCCTTGATCATGAACCATTTTATTTATTAAAGCAAGGTCTCTAACCAAATCTGGAGGTTACTAGTGTAAGTAGCAGCTTGCCACAGAGACCCCTTGCTTCACTGCCCAAGGGCTAGAATTACAAGTGGGCTACAACATCCACCTGGCTTTTATATGGGTGCTGGAGATCCAAACTCCACTCCCTGTAATCGCACAGCCAGCACTTTATCCATGGAGCCATCCACCAATCTTGAGCTTCTCATTTTTCAAGTCTGATAGTTACCCCTAGTGGAGGGATAATAAGAGGGTAGGATTACTAGTAGGAAATAAAGAATACCACCTGAGAGCTAGGGATATAGTTCAGTGGTAGAGCTCTTGACTGGCATGTATAAGATCTTGGATTTAATGCCCAGTACAAAAAAAAATCTGCACTGGAGAAATGCTCAGTGTCGAAGATCATTGACTGCTTTTTCAGAGGACCAAGGTTCAATTCCCAGCACTCATATGGCAGCTTATGACCATCTGTAGTTCTTTTTCCAGGGAATCTGATGCCCTCTGCTGACCTCTGGGGGGATGGGGCATTCATGTGATGCATAGTCCTATGTGTGGGCAAAACCCTGTTCTCATATAATAAATCAGATAATAAATTTAAAAACCCAATAAACACAGATATTTTTTAAAGCTAAGCATGATGGCTCACACCTGTAATCCAACACTAAAGAAGCTGAGGCAAGAGAATTGTCATACATTTTAAGGCAGCCTGGGCTACATAGTGGCAGCCTGTCTCAAATGAAAAGGAAAAGAAAGGTTGTCTGATGTAGCTGAGAGGTGTTCACCCTGTTGGCATTACCAAGCTTCAAGAACCTGAGCATTTACTGGTGACAGGAAGCGTGTCTCATCTACAGCAGAAATGGGTCTCTGAACTAGTTTATATTATCTCCCAGAAGTGACTTTCAGCCCTGCTACCCATTGCTTAATATTGCTCACAGCAGAACCCTACTACAGGGGGAGGAGGGATCTATCATGTTCGGAAAAGAGTGGTCAGGGCCTTGGTAACCTCTTTAACTGGTTTTACATACATGCCCAAAGCATTCTGCAAGCCAGTCAGGCCCCTGCCTGCCCTAGCCTGGAGCAGAGACATCTTTCTTGTGGCATTTTTCTTTCTTGTTGAGATTTTTTTTCTGAAGCATGGATCATGAAGTTTATGATATATTGTCTTAGTAAAAGGTTTCAGCTAAGCATCTGTTCCCAAGGAAAGGAACTAGAGTCTACTCCTGCTCTTAAAATGTGATCAGTACACATGAAGGTTGAAGGACAAAATGGCCACAGCAGTGGATGTTAAGCCCTGTGATTGATCACACCCTTGTCTACTTCAGAGCTATTAAATCAAGTTCCCATAGTCAAGTTTAACATGATGGCAGAAATACACTCTTTCCAGTGAGGTTCAGAAAGCCACCCTCCTTAAAGGGCCAGCTTTATGGAAAAGACACACTAAAGATGAAGTTAAAAGGAGGTGGGGATGCAGCTCAGTTGGCAGCATCATTGCCTAGCATGAACAAAGCTCTAGGTTAGACCCCAATACCTCATAAACCAGTCTGCTGCTGATGCTGATGCTGCAAGCCTGTAATCTCAGTGCTTAAGAGGTAGAGTCACGTG